TTATTTTATTTGGAATCGACGCAACTTTTATCTATTCTAGTATGAATTAATAGTCGATAATCTTTCGTGAGTTACGACAGTTACATTAAAATTTTCGTTCCACTGGTCAACCAAGTCCTCACTAATATTTTTACAAAATGCAACATTGAGCTCATTCAGTTTAGGACATTTCACGAAAAGTTGAGAACATATGTCAGGTGTCACATCCATGCTTTCCAAATTTAAGAATTTTAAGTTTTTGCACAATGTTAGTGTTTCGTAATCACGCTTGGTGAACCCTTTAGAATAGCTCAAGTCGATTTTTTCCAGGTATTGACAAGAGGAAAACAATCTATCAAAGATATCACCATTGACTCTACTGGTCAAATCGCATCTATAAAAACAAAAGTCAATACGATTATAGTAATTGCAAACAAAAAAGATAAGCAAACAAATTTTTATGAAAAATACTAATATGAAATATGTGTGTAATATAAAGAAAACACTTTCATAAACGTACCTAGAAAAATTAATTTCTTTCATTTTATTACATTTGGCAAAAGCATCAATGCTTTGCGATGTAAAAGAGCAACATTTTAAATTTAATCTCTCCAAATTCAGACATGAATTTTGTAATTTTGTTGCAATTGCATCGATGTTTAGATGTGTACCTCCTAAATTTAAATCACGCATCTCTCGATTTTTCTGTAGTATTTTACACAAAGTATCAGCTTGTATAACTCTTAAATCTGCAATATTTAAACTTTCCAAACACTGTAAATTCTTGAGGTACAAAATATTTTTGTTTGTTATGTTACGACAATAATTTAGATCCAATTCTAAAAAATACATGTGTATATCAATACATGTTATATCATATAATAATATAATTTACCTGTAATCATAACAATCATATACGTACCTTTCAAATTTTTACATATTTCTGAAATATCACGTAGATTATCACCAATATGCCTGCATTGACTTAAGCTTAGATGCGTTAAATGCTTGCAGCAATGTTTCAAAAATTCTCTAAATTTCAAAGTAGAAAATTTGCAAAGTGTCAGATCCAAATGTCGTAAATATTTACATCTGGGTGTAAAGTAATCGAATAACTGATTAACATCAATGTGCATATACGAAAAATGTATATTCCTCAAATTCAAATATTTGTATAGTAGAGGATCCCGTGATAAATTATTGAAGCGTTTATTGACTCTACTCATGCGACTTAATGACGTCACATCTAAGTTATTTAATATTTTTAGTGTCATTTCATCCTGCAAAGATAAAATTTAATTATATTACACAAAATATTATAATATAACAATTTTTATAAGACAACATTTGTTGAAACTTTACAGAGAGCGTAGAAAAATTGCAAGATGATCGCTCTTTGGACTCATCTGAATAAGATTTGATATCTTGATTATCTTTCTCACACTTTTTAAAATTCGAACAATTCTCTAAACTTTTTAAAAAGCGATGTATATATATCTGCCTAAAAAGTGACACTCTGGTTACAATGGATTTTCTGCTTATCTGAAGCATTTGCTTGCTTCCGAGTTCACTTTTATAAAAACTGTTTATTATATCGCTGCAAATAACATTGAAACAAATGTAATTTCATTTTTAATAGAATAAAAAATGATTCAATATTTATGGGCAACAATTATAAATATTACAATACCTTTTACAAGTAATGCAATACTTGTTAAAGTTTTCTTGAAGTTGGAGTATATCT